TTTATATCGGAACATTTCCGCATAAAAGAGACTGATGGCTACATTAAAAATTTGAAAGAGTTACTCCAACATGCGCTATACCACAAGTTATGTTTTGTAAAATTGAATTCCTTGGAATTTGTTCCAGTGTTTAAAGAACGTATGCATAGATATAAACTGAAATACTTACTGGAACATTTCTCTCTCCTTGAGGACCCGAAGTGTGGTCATTTTCCTTTTGGCCGCGGCGAATAGACGACACTTCTCATCCTCCTCCTGCAAACAGGGAATCGGTTTTACAATGATGCGACTTCAACAAGACAGTCACAATCGTTCGTCGCTGCCACATGTAATTGTAAATACTCAACGTTGGATGTGACGTCGTGGATACATTCAGCGTAACCACTAAGCATTAAGGCGGAGTTGCCTAACTTGTATTAACTGCATACTTACATTATGAGCACATGTGAATGACATCGGTTTCATGTAATCGTCGATATTCAAATTCATCTTAATCATACAGCAATCAATAAAGTTGAGTCGTGAGTACACACGAATGTCCTGTTGTTGTTGTTGTTGTTGTTGTTGTTTGACCTGTACAATGCTTACTGAAATCAGCTTCTCGAGCGTAGCCAGGTGCACATGCGTTTTGTATGTATGACCCCAGCACACATGTGGCACTGATATTACATCGCTCGGACAAACTGCTGTCAAGTCGGCCAGTCGAAGTTTACTGCTGGATTTTAACCCGTTCTGTGGACCTTGGTTGTAGCTGGGAGTGACTAATTCACATTCTTGCTCGTTGACCCAGTTAGCCGCGTAGAACACTGCTTCATCATAGAAGTTTTCCCCCAAAACACGTTGGAGTTAAAATTTCCCGTTATACTGTCACTAGTCAGGAAAAATCTGTTAATCTCCGAAGCATTGTGGCAACGCGTAGCGCTGGCTTCAGCTGGATTCGAACCAGCGACAGAAACACCATGCCTCAACACAGCAAGCGCTCTACAATGTGAGCTACGAAACCACACCAGGAGCCATATTGTCGCTGGTTCGAATCTAGCCGAAGCCCTGATTTTTCACGATTGGATCTCATCTAAAATCAAATTTGCCAAGCCTCCCATTAGTTATACATTTTCTTTACTCAACAATAGAGTTGGTGGATTTAAGCGTAGACTGTTCGAGAAATCTTGCCGGGCAGTCAATCCTCTGGATCGTTTGTTGGATTCCATATTAGACAGTGGGACCGTTGAGTAACCGAGTCCAAGTGTACTTGATCGGCCAGATAACAGTAGAGTCGGATAGTTTGAAGGCGCTGTCGCAACAGCGCTGCAACCTTCCACAACTTCGTCTGCTTGAAGAGCCGAATTTCGGCAAATGCTTTATATCGATTGACGTTAACATGATGTATCCCGTATCCCTGTATAGCATTACTTAAGACGTTTATGGGGAAAAATTCGAATGTGATGAGTTGGCCAAGTTTTCAATAAATCTGGCAGTGAGTAATGACGATTAGTGATTTCGTAGTCTAGTGCTTATTTTAGAAGTGGGTCAGCAGTGAAACGTTCGGAAGTGCGAAACCCGATATCACCTCAGTGGTTTTGTACGCAGTGCAGTACGACATAATGGTTCACTCAGGACATTGATTCGAATCCACTCCGCATCCCCGTTTTTGTGGTGCACAATCTCATGGTTATTCCGAAAACTTCAACTACACCGAATTGAAGGATAAGGGTGACGCTATCGCCATAACCATACATTCAGTGGTCGCAATCAGTCTGATGTGGTAGAGCTTTTTAGTGCTGCGACAGAATAAATTTGCAAATTGATGAAAATAATCTCAAAAATGTGCTATGCTAGTCATAGTTCTGTGCAAATTTCATTAGTGTCCTTGTGCATGGCTCAGCACACGCAGCTCGCCAAATTTTATTTCAACAGGTGGATCTCACGTTGATAATTAAGGCCAAGTTGATGAGGTCTCGAAGTTTTCAATTGTTAACTAACCAAAAACTTACCCCTTAAGTTCACGACCATAACTCGAAAACCACTCATAGCTGCTTACAGTGTTCATGTTCAGATAGAGTTTTCGGTCAGCGCCTTCTGAAAAATGGTTTCAGAATTTCCCTTCGCTTTCTATAGAGCATATCCATGTTACCAGCGGCTGCTGAACGGCGGCTCTCGTTCTCATCAACAGTTTATTCCTAACGTCTATAAGCCCGACTAGAAGGTTGAGGAGGATCGAACTTCCATTCTTCTCTATCATGCCAACCACTGCTCTGGCGATCTCACATTAGACGCCCTTAAAATATCCTGTAGGTGCTCAGTCACATCCGCTTCTGAATAATGCTCAGATTGCTCGACTGCCTGTGGTGGAGGCATAGCAGCTAGGTTGTTAATTTTTATTGGTAACCCCACGTTTAGAACACTTCATCAGGTTAAAATCACATGCATCCTCAAATTTGGTAAGCGGTGTTTCAAATTGAGATAATTGGTAGGGATTTAGTTTACACAACCTGAACATCAGTCACAATCGGTCGCAGCTTTCGCATTCAGGGAGTATTTTCAGTCAACCTCTTCAAAAAGCTCGAGTTTTTTTCGTTAAAGCTCGTCATTATTAGTGTATATTCTCATGAGAAATGAGCTGGAGTCGAACTGTCGGCTGTAACAGGGATGTGCACTACTAGTGTTGTATAACATACACCTCCGTTTGTAAGTACTACAGTGCGTACATTTGGAAACAAAAGGACAAGCTTCAACGCCAGAGAGACGAGGGACAAGAAGCGACTATTGGAATTGTGTCCATACACAATGTAGGAAGTGTCACCAAAGTGAATGGCGATGCACTGCTGCCCACAATGTTTAGATACACGTCGGCCATGCAAATAAGTGTTCGTGTCCGTTGTTTTGTGTTCGCACATAACTTTTGATGGGTTTCGTGTAACATACAACCTTCTAAGCCAAGCGTCCTTTGCAGTCACAAGTGTAGTAGGCTGGAACGAAAATGAAGCTCGAGTTGTTATCAAGAGAAATCGACCAAATAGTCTTTGAGTGCAAAAGCTGCAATCGGTTGTGAGAGATGTCTAGTGTACACTAAACATATCTCTACCACCCACTGGTAATCTACGCATGCCACCATTCCACGTGAGTACAATGATAACAACATATGCCTGACCTCCTCCTTTAGGCGTTCAATTTTTTTAATTTGTTTGTTTCCTTCCATTTGGCTCATGTAATCTTTCATCAGTTTAAACGACTGTTCCTGATCAATTTGAGACAAGCGCTCCAACTCAAGTTGATCCGCCATAGCAGTTTGCTTGAGAAGTTGACCTTCCGCTATGTTTTGGTTTTCTTCCAACTTCTGGGCTTCTTGACGTAGTTTCATTCTGTGGAAGCAAACAGTATAAATTCTTGTGTTTAGGGTAGTTTAGACAAATAGACGATTTATTTCTCCGCATGGATAATAATCAAGAGATAGTCTAATTTCTTGTAAGGATAAATAATGCATTGAAAAAGTAATCAGTTGCATATTCAATTTTCTAAACCTTACTTATTCGGCCACATGCTTCCCCGTTTTAATTTGGCTTTTGCTACCTTTCAGTTGGTAACTGCCGTTTTTAGCTCGCGATAATCGATTTAGCCACTTACTATTTTTAGCCTGTGACGTTAGTTTTTTTAAAGTCAGATTTGTTCATCTTGTACTCGGTATGGTCGGGCGAGATCAAATGCTGCTTACAATCGGTGATGAATAAAAACACAATGGTCCTTATAAGATATCCGCACCAAATTTTGTACAAATGAAGTCAAACAGTTTGGGCGTCATGTTTAACATGTTAGTGATAAATGGATTGGGAATAACAACGTTATGAACAAGTTGTAATACTCTACGTTTCAACCACCTCGGGTGGCCTTCCTCAAGAGTATTGTAATCGAAATCACACCAACAATGGAACAAAGGTCACGTGAGATTTGCCGTGGTTAGGTCAATCTGCGTTGCAACTGAATTGGTTGGTAGAATCGTTTGCTCATTAGGTTGGAGTAAGACTGATGTAGATAAGATTCGTCTGTGTCTGGTGTTCTTTATCTATCCACGCCACACTGCAGACAGGGGTTTGTTATCATTGCGATTAACACGAGCGTCTTGTGTGTAAATGGTGAGAGCTTCAGCACTTCGCATGGGAAGGCAAACCCTTGTGAATCACTCGAGCTTGATCAAAACCTACGTTGTGATTCTCTGGCAGTGCATGTAGTGCAATGGCCGAATCCATCTCTATCTTCTGAAGTTGATATGCGTCCTCAAGAGGAAACCTCGTGTGCCTCTTATGTTCGGCAACACGTACTTCCAGTTGTCTGCTTGTCTCTCCAATGTAGCTGGCATTTCAATCACCGCATTTGATTTCGTAAACACAGTCTGTCTGGTCACCCATAGGAACTGAATCTTTAGGATGCATCACCAGTCGCTCTAAGGTAGTATCTAACCGAAGTATGGTCCGTACAGCCTACTCAGACAAGATGTTTGTTCACGTTATGGTATTTGCACAGTAGACTTGAAAGTTCTGGTCGTTTCGATCTCCTCCTTAAGTGACGTGCGCTTAAATGTGTTCTCAACAAACGCGTTTGAATATTGATTGGCTGCTAGCATTTCTTTAATTCGAGTGCAAATTTTAGTTGCCCTATTGACGAGTGATTTTATGACTGTTCTCTTCATGCCGATTGGATGCAACAAGCTGAAGTTGAGATACCGACCATAATGAGTTGATTTTCGGTACACAGAAACCTGGAATCTCTGGTGCTCATCAACTTTCACTAGGCAGTCTAGAAAGCTAAGTAAACGTTCATCAGTTTCTACTGTGGATAAAATACCGTTGCATTTTGAGTTAAGAAACTGTAGGATTTGGTCGCGAGCGCTCCGTTTCATGATTACGAATGTGTCACCTACATATCGCCACCAAATTCGTGAAGAGCAGATAAATTCACTGATCGCTTGTGTTTCCAGGTATCAGAGGAAAAGATTGGCTACTGCAGGTGCAAGAGAGGAACCCATAGCTACACCATCGGTTTGCTTGTGCAATTTTTTGTTGAATGTGAACATGTTTGAGTACAGACAAAGTTCAAGACCAGATGCAATTTCGGAAGGTGATAAATTAGTGCTTGCATCAAGAGAGTCGTCACTTTCTAATAACTCTTTAACAACATCAATGCTGTTTTACTGGTATACTGGTGTAAAGAGAAGTGACATCAAAATTTAAAAAAGTTTCATCATTACATAATGTCACATGTTCGAGTTTGTCAACAAAACCAAAAGAATCTTAAACGTTGCTTACCAACTTGTTTTTCAACGGTTTGGTGATGCGGCTGATGAACCTGGCCAGCTTGTAAGTGGACTGGTGGTGTAGTCAACAATAGGTCTTATGGGTATTCCAGTCTTATGTACTTTTGGAAGACCATAAAAACGCAAAGGACGATTACTCTTCGGATTGAGCATGAACTAGGTAGACTGCCCAAGTTTTTCTTTGATGCCTCGGAGGAAATTGCTGGACTGTTTTAACTTCATTAAGAAGGGTGTTGGTCTTCTGCTCACTGATCTCTTCATATGGTCCGGTAGCTAAGTGCCCTAACACTTTCATTTGGTAATCTTTTTGATTAAGAAACACGGTGATATTGCCTTTGTCGGCCTTAGTAACGTGAATCGAACGATCCTTCTTGATTAAACCAAGAGCGTTCTGTTCTGCAGTGGTTAAGTTTGAGACAGGTGGCTGTTGTCGTTGTAAAACGCTTGTAGTTCTGAATCGTGCTTCATCTGCAACATCTGTAGCCAGTTTGTTTAGTGCAGGTTCAGTTTTGGGAATTATATCCATTGACTCAAGTTGCTTCCGTTGGATGTTGAAATTGAGTCCTTCTTTATGCAAACTTATCTCATCCATGTTGAGTGGTCGTGATAAGAGATTCATAATCACTTTTTCTGAGAGACGCTACGTTATTCATTGTGGGGCGGAAGAAACGTGATTTAGTTTTCGAAAAGCTTGTCAA